ACACATATGAAAATCCAGCTCTTTTATTATTAGACACTAAACAGATAAGCAAAACATTAAATAAAGGTCTCTGTTTCTCAATAATTTTTAAGACTGTGAAGGGGTTCTGAGACCAAAAAGTTTGAAAACTTATGATCATATCCATCTTGTCTCATCCTGGAAGCTTCTGTTCTTCTCCAGTACACATTGTTCACTCCTCCTCTGATATCTTCTAACATGATCCTCAAACTTTAATATGCATGCAGATCACCTGGGGAAAGTGCCCAATAAAACTCAGATGCTGATGTGTCTGGAGTGGGCGTGAGCTCGGGTCCCAGAATATGCCAGTGTTTCTTATGCATACAGTGCACCCTTAAGCAGCAAGAGTCTAACTCATACTAGCTGTGCTAATCACATGATCCTCATCACTTGCTGCGTGACATCTGAGTTTTTGGCTCATTTCCAATATTATTATTATTACCATCATTTTTATTATTGTTTGTGCATATTTTATCAACTCAGTGCTGGACACTAAGTTGTAAAGCTAAGAACTTTACATGTATTATCTCATTTAATGCTCGCAGCATTCTTATGAGGTAGATTCCATTACTGTTCCTAACCCACAGTTGAGAAGACTGAGGGTAAGTCATTTGCCAAGATCATGAACAACTAGGAAGAGCCAGGATTTGGTGTCACATCCATTTGACTCCATGGCCAGTGCTACTAATTACTGTCTTATATGGACTTATATCATTGTAATTCTCATAATATAATTTGTTTTCACTTGTATGTGCTTTGTCTTTCTATTTAAATTATATGTTACTTAAAACTCAGGGGTTATCTCACTCCCCTCTACATTTTGCCCACCACTCTTTTCAGAAATCTATAGTGACCCAATACGTATTATATTTGTGGAATAAATGATCAACACTATTACAAAAAAACCCCGGCCCAAGTGGAGTCACTTATGTTAAGGCCCCACATCAGCAAACCCAAACTTAACATCTAACTGTAGTCTCAACCCCCACAGGATTGTAACCTTTAAGCAGCCAGCCTGGAATTTCCTGGTCAGCACTAGGAAATTTACTGACAGACACTTTTCATTCTCCTTAGGAGGGCCACCTTGCCTAAAACAATGCATTCTTTGCTGATCATTTCCATTTTTTCACTCCCTCTCTGCCTTTAAAAACCTTTCCTTTTCTGCAGCTCAATGGAGCTTCTTCCTATTTGCTAAATGGGATACTGCCTAATTCGTGAATCGATTAATAAAGCCAGTTAGATCTTTAAAATTTACTCAGGTGAATTTTTGTTGTTTAACAACGTAAATGTGCACATGAGATAATAACAAGTAACTCTGAAAGCCCAAAGCTGCTGTCCTTCCCATACCTTCAGTAAGACATATACTGTGAATTCTTTTCATACCTGGTAGTGAGGCTGGGTCTGGACTGATGAATTTCTGTTCTTTATCTCTAGTTCCGACCAAAACATAGTCCATGATGTCTTACAAATGTATTTTCTGTGGTCCCAGCATCGTTAGGTCTTTACCTCTTTTTCTTGTTCATCAACTAGCAAATATTTAAAAATCAAGGAATTTCACAAAAAAAACCCAGAATCCACTTCTCTGGCTGTAATGGAGCCTCCATTCCACATGAGCCTAATTGTATGAAAGGAAGTAGCAGCAGGGTTTACATTCTGCAGGTCAGCAGTGGAGGGTCCAGCATCCCCAATCTTGCCCCATCGCTCGGGTTCTTACCCGCTACCTTCAGTCATTTTCCTGTGTGTCTCCAATTTTAAGATACTGGTATGCTTTTATTTATTTTTTGTATTTTTTTAAGATTTATTTATTTGAGAGAGAGAGAGCACAAGCAGGAGGAGGGGCAGAGGGAAAGAGAGAAGCAGGCTCCCTGCCGAGCAGGGATCCCGAGGCGGGGCCAATCCCAGGACCCTGGCATCATGACCCGAGTCCAAGGCAGAAGCTTAACTGACTGAGCCACCCAGGTGCCCCATGTATGCCTTTAGAAATGACATTCTGTTACCACCAAACAAGATGTATGTCAAAGAAGTGTGTTAAATTACAGACAATTCTACAACATAATTGTTGATAACTTTGTCTTAAATATCAGCTTAAATCTTTTCTTGATATAATTTCATAATTGTCATGTTTTTGGAAGGCCCTGCTGAGGATGTCCTAGCTAGCCAGTTCTCTTGGAGGTTTTGGGTTGGGAGAGGGGGAGAAAGAAAGGAGGAAGCAAATTCCCACCAGGAAGAGGTGAAAACAAGGTGCTAAATTCTGGAAACAGCATGGGATGCCAATGAGACCTGAAGGAAGGAGGATAAAGTATTCAAAATTGGGTAATTTTGAAAGTTATCCATTCTTTTTTTTTCTTAAAGTTCAAATCATAATTTAAAGACTCTAAAAGGGCATTTGTTTGAAAGCTCAGGGTCAATTTTCTCTGAAAAGCTTCATCAAGAAGGCCAACTGCACTCTTAAGAGAGAAGAAAATAGCTACAATTAGCATTTGTATGGGCCTTTTAAAGTTTATAGAGCTCCTTTGCTTACATTAACTCAATTGATCTTCCCTGCAATCTAGTGAGGTAGGGATTATTACCTTCCTATTAAAGATGAAGCTACCAAGTCTCAAAGCACCTTCCCAGGTGCTCAAGGTCACTTATCTAATAAGTAGGTAGAACAATGTACCCATATCCCATGCTCCCTTCCTTCTCTGCAGTAGCATTATAAAGGGCATAAGAACCCTATAAAAATATACAGTTAAGTTGCATATTGAACAATTCTTACTGAAAGTAAAAATTATAACTTTTGTCTCTGTACCTCTATAAACACAATTAGCAAATATTTGATTACTTTAACCTATTACATTTAACATGATTTTTTTGGTCACTACACTTACCTGTATTTAGAAAGGCTGCTTTCCATTCTCTGCCCTTCTTTGCCTTGAAGTTTAGTTTATTGCTTTTTAGGTGTTCATTGTTAGAGAGAAAAAAAAAAATTATTCTGAGTCTTGTTAAAAGAGTAAGGCAGACTTTATTCAGGACTATTGTGACAGGTACAGGGACCATTGCAATGGGGTTTTGCACTAAGGAGATTGGGCTCAACTCTGAATATAACAAGGAAAAGCGGAAATTTAAAGCCAAGGAGCAGAATTAGGCAGGGGGTTGGAGTATGTGGGAGGAGGTAGGGACTCTGGAGATGGAAAATTACTGAAGAGGGCAAGGTAATTCCTTACCAAACTATCCTAATAGGATTCTTGCTGAAGGCAGGCCAAAGTGATCAGACATCACTTGGCGGATGGAGAAGGATGAAACGTTTGGTCAGATTATCAAGAGTGATCAGATTGAGGATGGAAGAGTCTGGCTAAACCAGCATGACAGGATTCTTGCTAAAACTGGGCTCTTGAGGATATACCCAAGCACAGGAACTAGTTGAAAAAAGAGCTCAGGTGAGACTGACCAGAGTTTGGTCAAGGACAGATACTTTGTCATTATATTTATCAAATGAATAGTATTTGAACGGAGAATCAATGGAAACCCTATTGCCTTCTGGTCTTCAGTCCTATTTCTAATGAGCGTGTGTGTGTGTCTGTGTGTGTCTGTGTGTCTGTGATTGTACATATATGCATATGTATTGGGAGACTGAAACCAAACACCAGGTTTTATAGACATTTATCCCTTTACCCTGATTAATATTTGGCCAATAGTTTTTGTTTTCCATGCTGTTGTCTTTAACCATAAAGGGAGAGAACTCGCTGAGATTTCTAATGTCCCAACTAGCATAAAACTCTTATGAGTCAAAATTTTGCCTTCATACTTTGTTTGCTATGACAGCAGTGGGGGCTTCACAAAGTGTGATGAGGATGGAACTTTGTCTCCCTACCCCTCCCACTCTATAAGTCTTCCATTTCTTGAAAAGCACAACTGACATTTATAAATCATTCATAAACTTACGTACAAACTGAATTTTAAGGCAGGTTCCTAGGTCCCCATTGTCAACTAAATTACCAACATTAAGGCTCTTCTATAGAAGTTCCGGGGTCACTATGTTCTGTAGTCCCCAAAAGGAAGCTCAGAGACATGTGACTGTGCATCTTTCCATAGCTGCCACCATGGATCCTAAGAACATCACTCTCCTTATGTGATTGTGTTGAGGACTTCTTCACAAAATCACGTTTGGATCTGAGAGTATCCCCAGATGTCCAGAGTTTGCCAAAATCGCAGTGTTTCTGTGTTGCTCTTTGGGCTAAAATTCTCATCCCTTTCCTCACGTTTCAATGATAAAATTGGGTACCATTTAGCAAATGTTTGCCATGTGCCAAACATTTTGCATATATTATCTCTAATCCTCATAAAACCCATGCAAGATAAAATTATCCCCAAGTTACTAATGTCAGAATTTGGATTCAGAAAAGATGGATAGTTAGACCACAACTGGGTTTGACTCCAGGTCTGTTCATTTCCAAATCATGTGTTTTTCTGACTATATCACGCAATCGCAGTGTTCTGGCCTTTTTCTGGCTACAATTAACATCTGGGGATCCAAAGCAATTCATCTCTAATATAAAACAGAGAACTCAGCAAATATCTCTTCTCTAGCATTGGGGCTTATCTATTCTGCTTACTGACTGTCCAGACTCAGACTTCACTGCCCCTCTCTGCCTCATCTGAAGGGGCTTAACCCTTTTGTGGCCAGGATGCTCAGGATCTCTCAGATTCCCCCACAAGAGCTGGAATTCACTTTAACTGTCATTGGTTCATCCTTAACTCATTTTGCATAATGATCATTAACCAGCAATAAAGCAGTAAAAGGAATTTCTTAGGAGACTTCAGTTGACTCATGTTTCATCTGACAGGTCTTCACATGGGAAGATTCCTATCCGTTTCCATGTAATTCAAGATTTTTGAACAGGAATAAACCCTAAAGATGATTTCTTCTATTCCTTCACTTTGGGGATGATTAAACCAAGGCTTAGTGCAGTGAGATGATTTTATTTACATGTTCCAAATAGATGGTGAAGGAGGACTGGATCGCAGGTTTCCTGACCCATCACACAGACCTTTACCACAACATCACACTGAAACTGGAAGACTCCCTTGCAACTCATAACCCAGGTGAGTCACTTTTGCCTCTCTCCAACTCCAGCTGAACCAACAGCCAATGTGACCATGAGATTTTTCAATCTGAGAGGAAAGCCTGACAAATGATAAACCTTGATCTAGAGCCCATTGTCCTTGATCAAACTGAAAAGCACCCTGCTGTTAGACAACCTGGTTAGAAACCCAAACAACACAAGGCAGCCAGTCCTGTCAGCTAGAGACAAGCATCCTGCTGGCAAGCTAAATGCTATGAGGCAGTTACATTTTAACTTGTCTTAAAAACAAATGCTCTGAAGCCAAAAATTTATTGAACCACACAGAAAACAGTGCAGGGCTGTAGTCTACATATTTCCTTCTTTTGTCATTGGGAAATTTGAAGTTTTGAAGTTGAGGGAGAATAAGTGACTATAGCTGGGACCCCACGTGAAGGGAAAGTTGGATGGGAGAAGCTGCCCAGTGGCAGACTTGTTCTTCACTGGTCCCTGTGGACTTGGGTTGCACTCAGGTAGAACTCTTTAATTGGAGATGTTGGAGAAGTCACTTAACCAGCTTAGGACTTAACTTCCTCATTGATAAACTGAATGACTCAGGCCAAGTCATCACTGAGATCTTTTCAGTACTTCAAAAATAAACCAGAGAAATTTAAAATTTAACCATTATCTTCCAACTGTATTTCATCTTCGTTCCCACCTTGCATGCTCTTTGCCCCCTATAACCTCCAGTCTTTGTTCCCTTCTCATCATGTAAGGATGTATGTAATTCCTCTTCTAGCCTGACCAGCCTAAACTGCTCATCAGTATTCTCAGTGCCCTTACCCCCTTGTCCTTCTGCCCCACCAACTTTGTTAATTGCTATTATTTGACCAGCTCAGTCTTCTATTCCTGAGAGGCTAAGTGCTCATGGGGAAAAAAAAAGATTTAGCTCTATAATTGGACCTATTCCAAATTTATGATTTTCTTCACAAGAAGATTCTCTGTGCTCTTCAGAAGTTCTCTTAATCATTTCTAGGTGGTTTCCTCTGACATTCCCTATAATAGTAACCCCATATATTTATTATTTTTATCAATATCTTGCTTCCACTCATGATTATAAATTAGATGGCATTTTCTCCAAGTACACGAGAAATTTTACTGCACAAAGTCAACAACTATGAATTAAACACTTAGTATTACCAGGTACTGTTCCAGGTAGCAAGGGTAAAATGAAATATTTGTGTTCTTAGATTCTAGTAGGAAGAATGGAAACAGACAAACAAATGAATAAATAAAACTACAAAGAAGTTTCATTGTCTTGGTTGAATTCTAAATTGCCCAAGTATAAGGCCTGGTTCCATGATGTTGAGCACAGAATAAATATTGGGAAACCATAAGCCAAGTAAAAGTTCCAGAGCTTGTTCAGGACTGGGGATTTTTGGAGTGTATTAAGTATTGTTAAGTGCTTTAGAGAAAATAAAGCAGGTAAGGGAGAATAGAAAGTGGTGGGAGGTGGTAAGGTATATACTGTATATGGGATCATGAGGAAAAGCTATATTTACAGGTGAATTTGAGGCAAATACTTGGAAGCAGTGAGGATATAAAGCATGTAGATACAAGGGAAAGAACATTTAGAGATAACTATAAGTAAACATGCTGAGAAATAAAGTTAGTGTGTTTGCAGAAGATCAAGAAGGCCAACACATCTGGTTTGAGGGAATGAGGGCTAGAATAAGATGTGAAGTCAGAGAAATAACAGCAGGTGAGATGATTCAGGACATTATAAGGGGCTTGAGAGGGACTTATACTTTTATACTGAGTAAGATAGGGAATCTCTAAAGAGTTTTGAAATAAAATAAATAAAAGGAATAATAAGAAAATAATACATTAATTTTATTTATTTTTTTAATATCCCGGAGTTCTGTTTCTCATTATTACAGGGTAATTGGCACCAAACCAGCCCTCCCACCATAAGTACTCTAAAAATTAACCAAATATATGGAACAGCTATTTTCAGATTTTAAACAACAGAGCATGGGACTGGGATCCTGGAAAGAAAAGAAAAGAATTAAGTGAGCCAAATAATTGTTCTGAATTTCTGCCCAGAGGTCCTTTCTCAATAGCAGCTCAGGACTTTGGAGTCCATACAAATTTGGATTCCATATAGGTCCATACTATCATACAGACTGTGATGGTCTTGTAGGATTAAGAACACATAAGTCAAAGTTTGGGATAGCTGAGGTAAATGGAATTTATAAGACAGATTACCAGAGAGGAGGGAACTTTGCAGAGAAGAACCTGAGGAAACTGATTCGGTGCTGCTTGACTCTTGGATGAATACTAAGCCTTATATGTGTAGGGCAAGATTTTATAGTATTGGGTAAACAGTGGGTATAGGGAAGCTATGAGCCAAGTAAGGATTCTAGGAGATGTTGGAGTAGAGAGATTTGCTGAATTACACAGGCACTTAGTAGATATTTGAGAAAGGTTGCACCCCTGGAATAAGGCTACTGTAGTCCAATAGGTGTTCTAGATTCTTCCGTACAAAGCTTTAACAAATTCAGTATAATCAAAATAATCCATAACAATATCCAACACTCAACAAAGGAGGACAACAATATCTTAACACTCAACAACTGAGTATTTACAATGTCCAAAGAACAATTAACAATGCTAAGATCACATTCATTTCTATGGTTGAGTAATGTTCAGTTATATATATAATCTTCTTTATCCATTCATTTATGGAGGGACACTTGGGTTGCTTCCATATCTTGGCTATTGTAAATAATGCTTAAATAAACATGAGGTGCAAACAACATGGATGAACCCAGAGGGTATAACGCTACGTAAAATAAGTCAGACAGAGAAAGATAAATACCATAAGATTTCACTCACATGTAGAATTTAAGAAACAAAACAAATAAAGAAAAAAGAGACAAACAAAGAAACAGCAGTCTCTTAAATATAGATAACAAACTGGTAGTTGCCAGAGGGGAGGTGGTTGGGGAATGGGTGATGTAGATAAAGGGAACTGAGAGATGAGCACTGAGTACTGTACAGAGTTGTTGAACCAGGCAGAACAAAGAAGATAGAAGTTTACTGAAAACACTGCAAGGGAGCAGTGTGCAGGACAGAAAAGCAGAGACTAGGACAAGGTGAGGTTGAGGGGCCATAGTTATAGGGTGGAGTGAGGAGTTACGGTAATGTATGAAATTTTTCCTTTTTTGGTAATCTTAGGAAATGTGTCTAGTTGTAATTGGTCAATTATGACCTATGACTATTTCAAGGTGGGTCACTTAATGAACCTGTTTGCATTCAGCTTGGTAGTTGCTGTGGGTCCTTTTGCCTTACTCAAACTTCCATTACTCAAGCCTGTTGCCTAAAAGCAGCCTCTACAATATTCAAACTGCTAAAAACAAATAAAAAGCAGAAAATCTTAAAAACATCAGAGAAAAAGGATACACACGAAACAAGAATAAGAATATCCACCTACTTTTCAATAGAAAAAAATGCAAACAGAGAATGAGGTGCTATCATTAAAGGAGTGAAAGAATAATTTTTAAAAATCCATCAACCTGGAGTTCTGTAACTAGACAAAACAATCTTCCAAAATCAAAGTGAAGTTACAATTTCAGACAAAAGTTGAGAAAGTTTATCACTATAGACTTTCACTACAAGAAACATTAAAGGAAAATTTTCAATTGACAATGAATTTGACACCTATAGAACATTACCCACACAGGAATTGAACCACTACCTCAACTCATATACAAAAACTAACTCAAATGGATTAAAGCCTTAAGTGTAAGAGTTCAATCTATAAAATTCTTAGTAGAAAATTTAGGTGCAAATTTTCATGATCTTCAATTAGATAATGTCTTCCTAGGTATGATACTGAAAATACAAATTAAAAAAGAGAAAAAAATAGATAAATTGAAATACATCAAATTTGTTTAAAAAAAATTTGTGCTTTAAAGAATACAATTAAGAAACTTAAAAGATAACCTAGGAAATGGAAGAAAATATTTCAAATCATATATTTGTTAAAAATCCCATATCCAAAATACCTAAGGAAATGTTACAGTTCATCAATAAAAAGAACACTAACCCAAATAAAAAATGGACAAATTATGTGAATAGACCTCCAAAAAAGACTTACAAATGACCAATAAGTATATGAAAAGATGCTCAGCATTAGTCATTAGGGAAATGCAAATCAAAACCCCAATGAGATACCACTTTATACCCGCTAGAATAATTAAAATTTAGAGAGATAGGCAGTAACGAGCACTGACAAAGATCTGAATTATTGGGAAGCCTCATAAACTGCTGGTTGGAAAGAAGGATGGTATAGCCACTTTGGAAAACAATCTGGAAATTCCTAAAAATGCTAAATATAGAATGACCACATTCATTCCACTGCTAGATATATGCCTAAGAGAAATGAAATCATATTTCCATACCAAAACTTGAACATGAATGTTTCTAACAGCATTACTCATAATAGACAAAAAGTAAAAATAACCCAAATATTCATCAGCTGATGAATGGATAACATATGGCATATCCATACAATGGAACATTATTTAGCTAATAAAAGGAATGAATATTTGTACATGCTACAACATGAATAAACCTTGTGAACTTTAAGCCAGTCACAAAAGACACATCTTTTAAGATTCCATTTACATTAAATATCCAGAATAGGCAAATCTATAGAGACAGAAAGTAAATTAGTGGTTGCCTAGGAATGGAGTTAGGAATGCAAGGATGGAAATTGACTGCTAACAGGTACAGACTTTCTTTTGGGGTGAAGAAAAAGTTACAAAATTAGATTCTGGTGATTGTTGTACAACTCTGTGAATATGCCAAAAACCACTGAATTGTATACTTTATATGGATATATAGTATGATATGTGAATTATATCTCAATAAAGTGTTAAAAAAATTTGTGGATACCGCTAGAGCATGTTTAAAGAGAAACTTATAGTTTTAGATTCTTATATTATAAAAAGGGAATTTAAAGTCAATGACCTTAGA